GAAGTAGATGCGCCTGAGTTGTGTGGGGCTTAAAGGAGGGGAGAGACTCACCAGTCCGAGGGAGAGCATTCAGGAGAGAGGTTCAGCCAAAGCAAAGACTAAAAGATGGGAGAGGACCGGATAATAGGATCATAGATTTAGAGCTGAAAGGAACCTCAGAGGTCATCCATTTTACAGATGAGGACACTGAGGCCCAGAGGCAGGGGTGTGCTGGAGCCTATCCCATCATGAAATTTTCAATGTGTGAATTTACACCTTGGAAATCCATCAGACACTACAAACCAGACCTTGATTTATTGTGCTGTTGATTGTCTAGACTTAAGAAAGTGATGGAGAAAATGTTAATAATACAGGTTAAACTTAAAGTATGTCTATGTACCTTTTTCTTCTGCTTTAGAGAGCCAGTTGTTAAACATTTACTAGCATACTCCTGTTTAAAAGAGGTTAAGTGACTTGTCCAAGGTCACAAAAGTAGAGCCGGGATTGTAAATTGGGTCCTCTGACTTAGCCACCACATCATTTTTGCTCTTGCTGGGGATGCCGAGCAGATGAATAGAACAGTATGGCTAAAATTAGAAAGATAACTTGAAGCCACATTTTGGAAGGACTTTGATACCAGAATCAAGAGTTGATCATTTGGTTTGATAAGCAATGTGGAGCCACTGACAGTTTTGGGGGAGAGAACTAACAAGGTCATAGTGGAACTAGAGGGAGATTACTTGGTCAGTGTGAAGAATAGTTTTAGAGAGGGCAGAGTCTGGAGGCAGGAATATTCTTTTTTTTTTTTTTCTAGCCGAAGACAAGGTTTATTAAAGATCTGCCATATTGGCCAGACTTTTAAGGAATCTAAGTATTTGTATCGCTAATGTAAGCAAGTCAGATTTTAAGAATCTGAGCCAGGAATATCCTAACAACTGTTAAAAACCAAGGTAATCTGAGTACTATAAATACTCAAATCAATTACAAAGGACATATCAAGGAAGATGCTTGAAAACATCCAGAGAAAGAACTGATAAGTAGAAGTTCATATAGTATTTTTTTTTATTTTTTTGGAGGGGAGGCAATCAGGGTTAAGTGACTTGCCTAGGGTCACACAGTTAGTAAGTGTCTGAGGCCAGATTTGAACTCAGGTCCTCCTCACTCCAGGACCAATGCTTTGTCCACTGGGCCACCTACCTGCCTCTCATAGTATGATTTTACATATATTTATAAACCTGTGTCAATTGGTGGCCTTCTCTAGAGCAGGGCAGGGAGGGAGGGAGACAGTTTGCAACTTAAAATGTAACAAAAAATTAAATTAAATTTTTAAAAAATAGCGTATCAGAACTCTTGATCTAATATGATCATTGACCAATCTTGGCAACTAAAGGAAATATACAAGACCAAACGTCATTCTCCAGTAGATAAGTGGCCTTTGGGTATGAAGTTCTCAAAAGCCAGTGAAGCTGGCCTCCTTACCTTACAGAAAGTTATCTGCCAGACATCCTGCAAAGTGATTTGAAACTATGACCCTGAAGTTGTTAAACTGTACAAACCTTTCAATCTAGTGATGCTACTTCTAGTTTTATACTCCAAAAAGAGAAAAGAGAAAAGAAAAGGGCCCATATGTACAAGAATATTTATAGCAACTCTTTTTGTGGTATCAAAGAATTGGAAACAGAGAGGATGCCCATCAACTAGAGAGTGGCTGAACAAGTTTTTTGTTGTTGTTCAGTCATGTTCAACTCTCCATGACCCCATTTGGAGTTTTCTTGGCAGAGATACTGGAGTGGTTTGCCATTTCCTTCTCCAGCTCATTTTGCAGATGAGGACCCAAGGCAAACCAGGGTTAAATGACTTGCCCAGAGTCACATAGCTAGTAAGTGTCTGAGGTCAGATTTGAACTCAGGAAGAGGAGTCTTCCTGATTCCAGGCCTGGCGCTCTATCCACCGTGCCACCTAGCTGCCAGAGGAAAGTATGGTATTATGAATGTAATGTAACTCTTGTGCTGGTAGAAATGATGAAGGGAATGGTTTCAGAAAAACCCAGGAAGATGTGTATAAACCGATGCAAAGTGAAGTGAACAGAATCAGAACAATTTATACAATAACAACAATATTGAAATGACAAACAACTTTGAAAGACTTTAGAACTCTAATCATTTCAATTACCACTCATGGTTCCAGAGGATTTGTGATAAAACATGCTACCTCTTGACAAAGAGATGATGACTCAGAGTACAGACAGGATTTTTTTTTTATATGATCAATAGGAGAATTTTGTTTTTGATTGACCAGATATTTGTAACAGGGTTTCTTTCTTTCTTTCTTTCTTTTTTAATCTCAATTGACGGAGAAGGGAGGGAGGTGGCCAGAGGCATATTTTTACCTAATTGAAATTTGATTTAAAAATTTAATTTAAAAAGCTAAATTTAAAATTTAACTTAAAAAAGTTGTAGCAGAACAGGAGAGGTAAGGTGGGTGTACAAATAACAGTAACTGAGGGCAGATTATGAAAAGACAATAAAGAGCAGAAAAAGAAGTTTGCTGAGAGTTCAAAGGAGAAATAGGGGTCAGGGCCAGGACTTTGTACTCACATTATAGTCACATATCTGCCCAGAAGAGGGCAATATCCACCTCCCAGAATAGGATGGGCTATTCCTCAAAAACCAGTTTGTAGTAAGATTCTGGTCCCAATTCTACAAATGTCATGTACTTTAGATCTGGAAGAGATCTTAGAGGTCACTGAATCCAGCCCCTTTATTTTACCTGTGTAGGAATTGAGACCCAGAAAGGCTGAACTGACTACCCAAGATCACACAGGTCCAGAGGCCGTAAGGTGTGGGGTCAGAGAGCAGGACTCCTTGGTTCTCTTCCCTCCAGCTAGAGCAGGAGCTCTTACTCTGTGGTCTGAACTGTGTGTGTGTGTGTGTGTGTGTGTGTGTGTGTGTGTGTGTTTGCAGAAACACATGTGTGTGTATGTGTATATATAATATCCATTGATTATATATATAACATTTGATAATTTATATTTTAATATAATTGGCTTCCTTTGTAATCCTGTGTATTTTATTTTATGCATTTGTAACCATGATTCTGAGAAGGGATTCAGAGACTACACCAGACTGCCAAAGGGGAATATCCAGACTGTAAGACAGAGTGGGGTTGCTTTGGGTAGGAGCCAGTGTTTGGGGTGTGTGTGTATGTGTGTGTGTGTGTGTGTGTGTGTGTGTGTGTATGTGTCTGGGAGAGAAGGACCAAGAGGGAACAGAACACCAGGGATTCCTAATTCAGGGCTGGCCTTCTGCTGACTCTGCCTCCTCCCTCATTTCTTGTGTCCAGGAGCTCCAGATGTAACCCAGAGGCCTCTGCTCTATGCTGCTGCTTGCCTTGTCCTCTTGCCCCTAGGGCCCTGATGGCCCAGCCCTGGCAGCAAACGCCAACACAGCTGAGCAGCCCCAATAACGACTATCTCCCTATATCTCTGAGTCGTCCTCGAGGGGCATCTGGGGTTCACCTTCATCGGTTAACTTGCCAGGATTTTCAGAGGAGGTAAAGAGAAGTGTTCAAAGACCAGAGTGCGAAGGGCCTGAGCTCAGGAATAGTTTAGTGGGAAGAGTCCTGTTTAGGGAATCTGGAAGCTTAGGTTGCTAATCTCAGTTTTGACACTGTTATCCTCTGGGCCTCAGTTTCCTCACCTGTAAAATGAGTGGGTTAAACTAGATGACCTAGATTCATTCCAACCCTAAAATTCTAACATCTATGACCAAAGATACTTTCCTCACCTTCTCTGTGGGTGGAGGTAGAGGGAGTATTTGGTCTCCTTCTGCTTGTGTCTGGTTGTTTTTAAGTCATCAGGAGAGGACCTGCCCATGTCCTTTTTCTTCTATCTTCTCCCTGTCCCCGGGCAAGATAGCAATCCTCTTGCTCTGAAAGTTCTACAGTTTTCCAAAGAAATGTACTTCCCTACCCCTCTGTCCTCACATGGCACTTTACATCTGCCGTACATACTTACCATATATTATTTTAGAATGTAAGCTTCTTGAGGGCAGTCACTTTTTATTTGTAACCCCAGTATTTAGCATGTTTCCCAGCAGATAATAGAACCATAAAAAGCATGATGATTGTTGATTGATTGTTTTGCATTGTGTTATTTATGGGTAGCTAGCGAGGTGGGGCAGTGGATAGAATGTCAGGCCTGGAGTCAAAAAGATTCATCTTCCTGAGTTCAAATCTGGCCTTGTGTGACCCTAGGCAAGTCACTTCACCCTGTTTGCCTCAGTTTCCTCATCTGTAAAATGAACTGGAGAAGGAAATGGCAAACCACTCCAGTGTCTTTGCCAAGAAAATGGGGTCACAAAGAGTTGGAAACGATTGCAATGGCTGAACAATAAATGATTATTTATATATGTATCATTTCCTCTAACAGACTGTAAGTTCCATGAGGGTAAGGACTGTATATTACTTACATAAACCTTCTATTTCCTTTCTAACTCACCCCTAAGTGCCTAATAGAATGGGTATCTGTCTGTTGCATGAAGGTCTTCATTTCTATGAGTTTGTGCATGGGAATGTATTAGAAATGTGTGTCATGGGAGGACAGGGACAAAGGGTAGGCTGTAGAACTCTGAAAAAGAGCCTGGCTAGGCTGGGCAATGGATGGGAAGGGGGAATAGGGAATCAGAAAAGAGGGATCTTGGGTAGGACAGAAGGCGAGTCTTAGGATGCTCTGGGGTGGGCCAGCCCGTGGACTGAGTGGCCTTTTCTCCTTTCCCATCGAAGCTGTTGAAGCGGTTAGAACCAGTGGTCTCCAGCAGAGGGCCTGTCCCTGCCCATTGGCCTGGGAAGGAAAAGGGGGTTGGTGGGGAGAGGTTTTCAAACGCTGAGAACCAGGAGCTGATGCCAGATGCTCGGCTGCAGCCAGTCCAGCCGGCCGGCTGCCTCTCCTCCTCTGGGGCACAGGACCTGGGGGGCCCCCTTTTCCCCTTGCCTGGGCCAGCTTTTCTCCTGGATCTCTCACCATGCTCTGGCTGTGGCTCTTGGTCTTCTTCCTGGCTGCTGTGTCCACCGCCGGGCTCCAGGGCTTCCCGGCTGTTACCCTGCACTCTAGAAGGCGCTTTACTACAGTAGAAGAAGAGTGGGCACGGACCAAGAGGGGAACGGAGGATGATGAATCGAAGGGGGTGCAGCAGTACATGCCTGAGCAGTGGGCTGAATATCCTCGGCCCATCCATCCCGCTGGTCTACAGCCCACCGACCCCCTGGTGCCTATAAGCCCCAACCCAGACCAGGAGGGGGGTGCCCACGGAAGCGGACAGGAGCCCTATGGCAACCTGACAGGCACCCCTGGGCGAAGGCTGCAGATTCAGAACCCCCTCTACCCGGTGACGGAGAGCTCCTATAGCGCCTATGCAGTCATGTTCTTGGCACTGGTGGTGTTTGCCGTGGGCATCGTCGGCAACCTGTCAGTCATGTGCATCGTGTGGCATAGCTACTACCTGAAGAGCGCCTGGAATTCCATCCTGGCTAGCCTGGCTCTGTGGGACTTCCTGGTCCTCTTCTTCTGTCTGCCTGTTGTCATCTTTAATGAGCTCACCAAGCAGAGGCTGCTGGGTGACGTCTCCTGCCGGGCTGTGCCCTTCATGGAGGTGAGGTGCCCGCTGCCTGTCCGTGCTGGGGCCCTTGGCAGGGCTGGCCTGGATGGCCACCCTGGGGCTGGGGTGGCGATCCAGTGGAAGATGTGGGGGAAGGAGAGGGAAGTGGACAGGCAAACGAGTAGGGGCCCAAGGCTGCATGATGGCATAGACAGAGCCCCAGAGACGGCTCAAAATGCAAGCCATGTGTGGCCCTGGGCAAGTCAATTTCCTCATCTTTATAATAGAGGTAATAATACTTGTACTATCTCCTTTACAGTGTTGTTGGGAAGGAAGAGCTTTGCAAAATTTAAAGTGCTAAATAAATGTGTTATTTCTTTGACGGTTAGAAACATTCAAGGTCTCTTGTCCTCAGATGGAGATATGTATGTAAGTAGGCCATGGGTCCCATTTTCTGCTCATGGGTACCTCTTTCTCCTCCTTCCTTGGCAAATGGGATGGTGGTGGTGATGGTGTTAAGTAGGCCATGGGTCCCATTTTCTGCTCATTGGTACCTCTTTCCCCTCCTTCCTTGGGAAATGGGATGGTGGTGGTGGTGGTGAAGCCTCCTGTTGTCCCTGGAGGGTGCTAGGAAAGGCTGGGGGTGAGACATCTGATAGGAGCAGTACCGGGGTTGCCCAGCGCTAGCCTTGGCTTTATCCCCTTCCCTGATGCAGACTTGAACAGTCTCCTTCCCTTCTTGATTTCTCAGTGTTGAATAGTATCACAAATACCCTCATACGCCCTCTCTCCTTCTCCGCCATCCTAACTTGGGAACCCCCTCTGTCCCTTGTTCTCTCTTCCTCTTCTTCATCAGAGATCCTATCCTCTCTGCCTTTTCACTGCCCACCCTCTGTCCCTGTTTTCCAAACCAGTTCCCTTTGGGGCCACCTCAACATAGCACAAATGAGAGCTCAATTCCAATCCAACAAGGGAAGAGAATAAGGGAATAACCAATTATATAGTACCTACTATGTACCAGACACTGTGCTAAGTGCTTTTTACAAATATAATCTCATTTGATCCTGACGACAACCTTGTGAGGTAGGTGATATTATTATCTCCATTTTTATATTTGAGGAAACTGAAGCAAATGTAGGTTAAGTGACTTGCCCAAGGTCACACACTTAGCGAGTGTCTGAGGCTGGATTTGAACTCGGTTCTTCCTGACTCCAGGCTCAGGGCTATATCCACTGTGTCACCAGCTATATCTAAACAAGCATTTATTAACTTTTGCAGGGCACAGGGGGGAGGCATAGACAAAAGGGAAAAAAAAAAAACCAGTCCCTGCCCTCAAGGAACTTACTTTCTACTGGAATTCCCCACAGAACCCTGGGAGTCAGGATACCTGGGAATCTCGTCCTGGCTCTGCCACTATTTATGTGAACCTGAGTAGACATTTCACTTCCCTGGGACTCAGTTTCCTCCCTTATAAAATGAGGGGATTGGGCCAGATTCTAAGATTTCTTCTAACTCAGTTCTAATTCAATGATTTTAAGTGATAACCTCCTCCTGGGAGATTTCAGATGCAGAAATGACTGACTCAAAACATCACATAAAGACCCCAGTAAATGTTTGTGAGACAGGGTGAGGTCAAAGTCACTCTCTGATGTTATTATTATCTAGACATCTGACATGTACAAACAAGCTAGCATACATACCCAGCAACTTCTTTGAATTCCTGGCTGGTGCTGAGGACCCAGGGTCCTGCAGTGACTTTGGCCCTCCTGCCCAGGGTTTTCCTCCAAAGAGGTAATGCTGAATGCTCTGTATGAGCCAGTGGATCTCAGGGCATTGGAAATGAATTCGAAAGCTATGGCAGGTCTGTATTTGGACAGAATCAAACAATTTTCAGCACCAAATCACTGAATAGTGGCCCCGAAAACCTTCCCCAGCCCTTCTCATTTGGATAGATCAGGGTCCTGAAACACAAGCCAGGAGGTGGGTGGGATGGGGTGGGGTGGGGTGGTCCTTCTATTTTAGTGAAAGTTCCTCACTCGCTGGAAGTCACATTTATTTTAAGGTGTGCCTAGGTTTTTCTGTTTGTTTGTTTTCCCCTATCCTCACCCCCTTTCACTGAGATAGTGCTGATTTGACTGGCTGGCCGACTGGGGAACCCCGGGTCCTGGATGGGCAAAAAGCAGTCCTGCATAGAGAGAGGCTGGGGAATGGGCAAATGACCTCTCTAGGTCTGTTTCATCTGGACAATCTTAGTATGCCACTCCCAAGACTGGAGTAGGGATAGATGAGGCAGAGTAGATTGGGGTTAGATTGGGGTTAGTGGAAAAATGGAAAGGCTGGGGAGAACTGAGAGAGAAAGAGAGATAGGTAGAGAGAGAGAGAGAGAGAGAGAGAGAGAGAGAGAGAGAGACTGGAGCTATTCTTCTGAACCCAGATGCCTGTCTGTATCTTTTTAAGCCTGTGCCCCAAACTGAGGCAGGGAGCGGGGAGAGGGGGCTGGCCAGCGCTCACAAAGGATGCTTACTGCCTGGGGGAGGGGGTACAGCACAGGGGCTAATAAACTGGTGATTGTGTTTCCCTTTCTAGAGGAGCAAGGCATTTGGACTGGAGGGAGATCTGTCCACAATCCCTGAGTGTGTCCGGACATTATTCGATAGCTCTGGACAGTTCTTCTCCTTCCTTTGTGCTCTAGTGTGCCTTTTCTCCCCCTGCTGCTTCTGGCCTCTTCCTCTTGGCACACAGGCCTGTTTTCCTGGGCACTCAATAGCGTGATGGGGACAAGAAGCAGGCTTGGTTGGAGGGGAGCTTTGCTTCCCCTCAGGCCCGGATCCTGACATTTTCAGGGGTGTTGGGGGAAGGAGGGAGGGTATGTGTACAAGTGTTTGTCCATCCGCTGCCCATGTTGTTCCCATTGGCAACCAGGGCCCTCAAGACAGACTGCTCTGTCCCCACAGTTGGGGGGAGGGGGGGAAGGGCAGAGTACAATAGCACAATGACAAACACTTATTGAGTGCCTACTGTGTGCAGAGCTCTGTGCTGGCTACTTGAGGAGATAAAATATTTTAACAAGATACATTACAGTCTTCAGCCTACATGATCACAGAACCAGAGTTGGGAGGGGCCTCAGAGACCACTCTAGTCCAATGCCCTCATTTTGCAGATTAGGAAACTGAGACCCACTGAGGATAAGTGACCTGTCCAAGGTCATAGAAGTGGTAAATATCAGAGGTAGGATTGGAACCCAGGTCCTCTGACAGTGTCTTTTCTACTGTGCCATGTACAGACTGCAGAATCACAGAACTTCAGAGTTGAAGAATAGTTTATATGTCAGTTTATTTGAATGCATCAGATTTCTTTGTAATAATGACACTATAGAGTGACTTGGGCTATACCTTGTCTCCTGAAAGTTCTCACTATTGTCTACTGGGGTTTTTGTGCTGAGGTCACTGAGTACAACCTATGTACCAAAAAAAAAATGCCCTCTACAAAACCCAGGCCAAGTGGTCCTCATCCAGCCTTTGCTTGGGGAGCTGACCACCTCTCAAGGCAGCCCTTGACTAGTTTTCCCCTATTATCCATCCTCTGTTCACCTCTTTGCTACATCCACCCATTGCTCCTGAACATCCAGAACACTGTAATAAAGACTATCCGGGACGAGTACACGAGAATCATCATCGTCATTGTTGATACAAAAAATGTTATGTCATAGGTGAAAGTAAAGGTCATTATTGTTCCGGGTTGTAAGGGGGAGGGGAGGAGGAAGAGAGGATGAAGAGGCATACACTGGTTGCATTTCTTGGTTCTTTATACCCTTTCCCCAGAGGACAAGCCAAGAATTTCCTCTCCTATGCCTGGTTGCATCCACCTCGGGTCTTGGTCGAGACAATGTCTCCCTCCCTGCTTTCCTGCTATCTCTGTGCCTGGTCCTAACTCTCTTCTTTCCCTACATCTGTCTTCAGGTATCCTCCCTGGGAGTCACGACCTTCAGCCTCTGTGCCTTGGGCATCGACCGCTTCCACGCAGCCACCAGCCCCCTGCCCAAGGCCCGGCTCATCGAGCAGTGCCAGTCAATTGTGGCCAAGCTGGCGGTCATCTGGGTGGGTTCCATGACATTGGCTGTGCCCGAGGTCCTGCTGTGGCAGCTGGCACAGGAGCCCTCACTCATAGCAGGCACCATGGTGGACTCATGCATCATGAAGCCCTCGCCTAGCCTGCCTGAGTCCCTCTACTCCCTGGTGTTGACATACCAGAATGCCCGCATGTGGTGGTATTTTGGCTGTTACTTCTGCCTGCCCATCCTCTTCACCGTCACCTGCCAGCTGGTGACCAGGCGGATCCGGAGCACCCCAGGGAAGAAGCCAGAGTGCCGGGCGAGCAAACACGGGCAGTGTGAGAAACAGCTGAACAGCACCGTGGGGGGCCTGACTGTGGTGTATGGCCTTTGCACCCTGCCGGAAAACGTTTGCAACATCGTGGTGGCTTATCTCTCCACAGAGCTGTCCCGGCAGACCCTGGATCTCCTCAGCCTCATCAACCAGTTCTCCATTTTCTTCAAAGGCTCAGTCACCCCCGTCCTCCTCTTGTGCCTCTGTAAGCCTTTAGGCCAGGCCTTCCTGGACTGCTGTTGCTGTTGCTGTGATGAGTGTGGGGCGGATGAAGCCGCCTCTGCTGACGGCTCGGACCGCAAGCTCAAGACAGAGATGTCCTCCTCCATCTACTTCCACAAGCCCGGGGAGTCACCCCCTCTCCTGGCACTGGGCACTCCGTGCTGAGTCCTGGCTGGAGTTGGGGGGTGGGTGGGAGGTGGGACACTCTAGACCAGGGGCACATTCAGATTTTTCTTCCCATCTTGCCATCTAAAGATGGACTTCATCCTGCAGAGGTTGGGGGATGTCAAAGACCCCTTCCCCAACAGTGGCCCTCCTGGCCAGTCCACTCCCCTCCCCCACTATTGCCCCAGGGTGGAGAAGAGCATTCAGCTTTGCAATTTTGGTTGGTGGGTAGACCTGCCCCTATTCCCTTAGCCTCCTAGCTCCACCCAACAGAAGCCAGAGTCTCGCCTGCTGACCCCATCCCCATTCTGCATCTCAGCTTTCCCCAGGCCTACCTTCAGGATCCCTCTCTGCCCCCATGCTTTTAGCCCTACTTTCTCCCTCTGCCAAAACACATATATTCACACACCCTGTGTCCCCTACATTCATAAAAAGGGGGCTTCACTTGGGCTAGTCCAACTTGGCAGGGACTGAGTGATCCCAGCTGTTCTGACCACCACCCTGCCTGGGCTGGAGATTTCTAAGCTCTGGATGCCCCCTCCCCCGATGACTCTTCTTTCTTTCCTTCTTCCTAGGGTGGCCCCGGGCACAATCCGTCCCCAGTCCCCCTGCCAAATTCTGACCTGTAGAAGAACCTGTCTAAGAAACCAATAAATTAGCTAGAACTACCCCCAGCCCCTGGCTAGTGATTTCCACGTCGCCATGCTCTGGCAGCGTCCAGCTTCTCTTGCTCAGTCTCCCTCGGCCTGGGCTAGGTGGGGTCCCATGCGTTCAACTCAGAAACACCTCTGGTGCTTTTCATTCTGGACACCACAGACTTCAAGGGAGGGTGTTATTGCTTTCTTTATGGACAGGCCTAGAGACTTTATCTCTATCTTTGGCCTGGAGAGCAAAGATGCTAACAGGTCCAAACCATCTCTTACTAAGCCCTTCCACCGGGTGTCCCTCCCCATGGCCCATCTTCTGTGAAGCAAATCCAGTTCTCTCCTTCTAAGCCCTGGGACTTCCCAAGCCGTGTCACTGTCCTGACCTTTCTGGCTCCCTGAGCTACATGGTTTTTTTTGGGGGGGGGGGAGGTGTTTTGGAATGGAATGCTTGCCCATAGAGAACTTAGAGAACCGCCCTTCCTTTCCCTACCTTGCACCCAGTCCAGCCTCCGATGGGCATAAGACCCCAGAAGATCTAACTGCTGAAGCTAGTTAGGCCTGTGGCCTCAATTCTACATCTCCACTGTCTGTGCTCATCCCATTTGTAGGAACCTTCTCGGAGTGGTACAGGGTAAAGACAGCACGGGTTCTGGAACCAGAGGACCTGTGTTCAAATCCTGTCTGTCACTTAGGACTTGTGTGACCTTGGGTCAATCACTTCACTTTTTCTGGCCTTCGGTTTCTCCATATGTAAAATGCGGGGGCTGGACTAGGTGGTCCCTTCCAGGGACCCTTCCAGGTCTGGGTCTAGGATTCTAGGGACCCTCTCCTTTGCTTTCACCCCTTAAGTTGGGCCCTACATCAAGTCCACCCTCAGTCTTGGTTCATTTCCCAGAAGAATGGGGCAGGGGAGGAATGGCCTGGACTGACCAGCCTTTCTCAGAACCGCCCCTGCTCCCCTGACCAACCTCCCTGCTCCCAGCCCATCCCTAGAGATGTCATGAAAGAATTCTCTAGGGGCTGCTTCCAAGTTGGGAGGTCAGGATGGAGGGTCTCTAGCCTGCTCTTCCCCTCAGATCCCATGCCTAGGCCTCTCCCACCCCCACTCCTCCTAGGAATCTTAGCTGCCTTGTTTTCTTTCCCTGGCATCCACCCCCGGGACCGGGTGACGCCGCCAAGAGAGGGAGGCAGTTGCTAGGTGACAGCCCTGCCATGTGCCCGCCCTTTGTGCTGAGGAATGACACCCACCACTTTCTTGCAGACCTGTTGCCACGGTGACTGAAGCCCCCAGCTTTGTTTGGAGAAACTTAAGATGGGATGGGGGGTGGTAGCAGGACGTGGTCAGGCTGGTGGGGAGGACTGGCCAGAGCAGATTCCTTCCTGAAGCTATGGGAGATGTCTCCCTCCTCAGCCTCCCCCTATCCTTTCTCAGGTCTCACCAGGGGACTGATCTCATCTGTTAAAAGGAGGTGGCTTAGTTTAGGAAGCGGAGGGGAAACTGAAATGAAATGAAGGGACAGAGAGCTCAGGGAAGAGAGCTGGGAATTGGGGGAGGCCGGGAAGAGCAGCGCCTTCTGTCAGAACAACCCTTTGGGTGCCCTACTCGCTGGCCAGCTCGGGGCAGAAGGGGGTGAGGAGTGCTGCCTCCTCTGCCCCCCAGCTCTGCCTACGTGAGCAGCTTGCAGGATTAGCCAGCCAGGGGCTTGGGAAAGAAGCTGCTGTCCTTCTTGGCCCAGGCCAGCTGGGCAAACAATATGTAGCTTGTTGCTTTGGGATCCGGTTCGCTGCGAGGTCCAGGGTTTGGTGGGGGGGGGGGGGGGGGGGGGGGGGGTGGGCCCCAGCAGTTGTAAGAGTTGAGGGGAGGGGGGGTGGAGGGGACACGAGGCGGGGACACTTGGGAACAGGGTTGGAAGAACCGGGGCTGGCAAAGTCCTGCCCTCCCAGCCTGTTATGTGCAGCAGGTTTGAATGGCTACATCCCTGCTGCCCGTGCCAGGCAGAGGGGGGAAAGCCCTGGGATGGACTCAGCTCGCCCACCCGTCCTTGTTCTGAGGCGGCTTTGGAGGCTTCAGCTGCACCAGGGTTTTCCCCGTCCTGTCCAAGGGCTTGACATAATTCTGAAGGCCCACAGGCATATTTGCATGCTATCTGCATACACAGCTGTATACACTGCCTGGTCTGTTCTCAGACAACTTTCTAGTTAACACTGAATTGGTTGGGGCTCCTGTTTCTTATTCTTTATTCATCTCTTCATTCTTAGTTACTTACTACCAGTCTGACTTTGGACAAGTCACTGGAACTTTCTGGGCCTGTTTCGTCGTCTGTAAATAAGGATGTTGTAATGGATGACGTCCAAGGTCCCTTGTGGCTCTAAGTCTTGTGGTGGTTAGGGAGTTGAGACTCTACTACAGGAGTACCAGGTATGTGTGTGGGTGGGTGCCGGGGGAAGAGGATAACCCAGAAGCTGATACATCTAGATCAGAGAGAAAACATGCATTTATTAAACACCTAACATTTGCCAGGCACTGTGCTAAGGGCTTCACATAAACCTCATTTGATCCTCACAACTACCCTGGGACTTAGAGGTTATCATTACCTTCATTTTATAGTTAAGGAAACTGAGGCAGAGGTTAAGTGACTTGCCCAGGATCATACAGTTAGTGCGTGAGGCTGAATTTAAACTCAAGTTCTTCCTGATTCAGGCCCAGCACTCTCTCTACTGCATCTTACTTCCTTCTCAGGCAGGTATGGTTGGAGTAGGGGGTGGAGTAAGTGGTATTTTACCTGCCTCCCAAAGAAAAGTGGGTTTTTGCAAACTGCTCCCCCCATCTATTTTTCTAAGGTACACAGAGAAAAGGAAGGTCATGGGAGCTAACTAGGTAAAAATAGGTCAAGATGGCCTCATTTTTATAAATAACCTCAGAAGGAAGGGTGAGCATGGAAGGGGGAATGTGTGTGTGTATGAATTGGCCAATCCTCATCTGGAAAGGCTGACGAGGCATAAAGACGGGCCTGGAGAAGAGCAAGAGAGGCAGGGAGCCTGTGGGGAACCCCCTGGGAGACAGCTCTGTCGTCCCAGGGAGTGGTGGGCTCTAATATCAAGTCAGTCATCCTAAGGCAGCCCAAGAGCTCCCAAGTGCTAAGAGCCCCAAGGGAGAGAGTCTGCTTCCCATAGTCTCCTGCTGCAGAGGAGGTGGGATTTGGCTCCAGCCTGGAAGAGGGGAGACAGCTAAGCATTGCTCTGAGCAAGACGAGGACATGGACCAGGAGCTGCTCTTCACAAAACACCCCTAACTTCCTGGCAGCAGGATCTGTAGAACTAAGCCAGGGAACACAAATGGCAGAGAATTAAAAGGTTCTCCCTTTCTGAAGCGGTCAACATCTCACTGTCACAAAACCATCACTGGGTGGGTTGTCGATCACGAGCTAGCAGGGGCTTTCGAGATCATCTGGTCCAACCTGCCCATTTCACAGATGGGGAGACTGAGCCTCAGACGGGGGGGGAGTGAGCTGCCCGACGCTGCACAGGTGGTATGTGACAAGAGCTGCTTTTGAGTTGAGGTCCTCGTTCCAAAGATACTTCTCTTCCCACCAGACCTCGCCAGCAGAAGACTCCCAGGTATTCCCAAGCACTGGCAACATTTGGGAAGGAGGACCTAGGGTGCTTGTGTCTAGGCATGTCTCTCTGTGTTCCAACTGACCTGTGTGTTCAAGGGTCTGCCTCACAGTAAGTCATACGTAGAAGAAAATAACTGGCAGCAAAAACCCCCCCAACACAAAATTGTTAATTTATTCTCGTTATTATTAGGAGGCAAAAAAAAAATTGTACAGTTACAAGAGTCATTTTCCAACAGAAGGAATCCAATGTGAGCCAGAAAGTGTTGTAAAAAAAGGGAAGAGAAATGCCACTTTACAATTCATTAAATAAAAACAAAACAAACCCCAAAGAACCAAAATCCCCCATGCTGAGCTCTCTCCTTGTGCAAGTCTGCAAAGTAAGAACAGAAGGGAGGGGGGCAAGAGCTGGGGAGGCCCAGGTGGGAGCAGGGGCAGGGGCAGAAGCCGCTGGGGGCTGGCCAGGCTGCCCAAGAGCCGGGGCTGGGGGAGGAAGCCTCGATGGGAATGCTGGCACCGTGGCCCCGATACCGGAGAGATGGTCTTTGGCAACTGGTCTGTGCCTGTTAGCCCCTCCCCACCTGGAGGGAAGGAGTCGGGGGGTCCCACAAGGTTGGGAGCAGAGGGGTGCAGGATGGCCACCAGGGCCAGGGTCCAGCCCCAGGACATCAGCCTCCTCCCTGTTTTCCAAGCCTTATGCTCCCCCCTCCCCTAAAGCTTTTCTTCCTCTCCTAACCCCCTGCTGACCCTGGCATCGTCATATGGTCGATTTTAGTCATTGCTTAAATTAAAAAATTAAAATATATATACATATATATACTATACACACAGGACAGTAACTGAACAGTGTTGGGAAGGGCAGAGCAGGGCTGGAGAGGTGGTGCAGGATCAGGGAGATGGATGTGGGAATTAGGGGAAAGGGAACAAAGGGCAGAGAAGTTAGCGGGTCCAGGTGGGACCAGTATTCTTTACAATAAAAACAGGAGTTCAGACCTCAGCAGAACAGGACTCTGGGTCCCTGGAGAGTCCCCCCTGCCACGCACACTGAGGAGGGGGCAGGAGGAAGGGGGACAGTAGGGACCGGCAGGGAATGCGGCTTTAGGTTTGGATGATGGCGGTCCCTGGTCCCGGGGGGAGGGATGGACCGCTGTCTCAGCTTCTCCGTGACTTTGAATGTTGGATAAGCCACTGTAGGGTGATGTCTGTGAGAGGAACAAGGAACATCAGGTTAGAGACGATGACCGGAGAGGGCTCTAGGGGGACAGACCCAAACCACAGGGAAGGTCAGGGATAACTTGGAGGGGCCAGGCACTGAATGGCTACTGGGGTGGGGCACAGACGCTTCTACCCTCTGACCTCCTAGTGACTAAAAGCCACTGCAGTGCCAGCAGGGAGAACGCCACAGACTTTTAGAGGTGACAGAATGATGTGAAGGTCTGGTGGGAGGACAGAGAATCTGACACCCACAATGCTGGGGCTGGAGCTGGGAGGCTGGAGTGTGCCAGACCTATGACAGAGCACCTGACACACTGGTTGCTTTTTCTATTTGGCTCCCAGGAATGTGTAATCCCAGCACCATCCTGGATTCCCCCTCCCACACTACCCCCAGCCCCAAATCTACACACCGATGTTATCCTTTTCTTTGCAGGAGATAGAATAGCAGCAGATCTCTCGGTCCTGGATAGCAGACAAATTCCTAGGGGTGGGAAATAACAGGCTTTTCTCAGACTCAGCGGTCCACCCAGCGCAGCCAGGAGCTAGAGGGGAGGGGGTGGAGAGGAACAGGGACTTTGGGCACTGCGAGGCCTTCAGAAAAGCAGCATTGGGTGCCACCCTGTGGCTGAGTCAGGGAATAGGTCTCTACTCCTCAGGGCACTGGAGCAGAAACTGATGCCTGAGAAAATACAAGGAGGGTTTTTTGGATGGAGCGCTAGTAAGAGATAGAAAGAGATAGATGGGGAGTGCTGGGAAAAGTACAGGCCTGGGGAGCAGCAGGCTTGGGTTCTAGACCTCGCTCTCTCTCTCTAGCTGTTGTCATGATCTCAGGCCATTCACTTGACCCTCCTGGGCCCCAATTTCCTCATCTGTAAATTGGTAATCAGATCTCCAAGAGCTCTTCTAATGTACCTCTTATATGAATTTCAAAAATTAAGAGTTGGAGTTTCTCTGGGAGAAGTACTTGTGGATTTTAAGGGGGAAAATTTTACATCTGAAATAACAGGGAAGTCCCAAAATATTGTGGACTTCTAGAAATATCTACCTAGAAATTTTCTACCATCAATATGAAGCTGTGCATCATTTAAGAATATCTGAGGAAAGAAAACCAGAAGAGCTGGGGGTGGGGGAGGGGAAACATCTTCCAGCTGACCACCAGGATCAGCCTCAAACTCCGTGGCCTCTCCCAGCAGGGTTCCTCTTCTGTAAAATGAGCAGCACTGGACTGGCTGGCCTTTATGGTCCCTTCCTGCTCTAACAACAGACCCTGCGCTAAAAAAAGAGATCAATCCATACTCACATTTTTTCAATCAGTTCCTTCTCATCCAGAGCACCAGGGAGGTCTCGCTTGTTTCCCAGGACTAGGACCTATTGGACAGAGAAGGCAGAGAAGGGGGTTGGGGTTCTTGGTTACTATCTACCAAGGTGAAGGGTCCTAGCAGAGGCCATAGTGAGGATGCTTCTACAGAAAAAGCCTTTGCCTCGCCCTTCCCATCACATCCAGACTCAAGCCTCGTCCTCTAATCCCACCTCACCCTTGTGGCCCAGCCTGTCCTCCCATGCCCATCACCAATCCTGGTGTCCCCCACATCTTTTATCCTCAGGATCATTCTCTTCCTTCTCCAGCCGTGGCTCACTGACCGGGATTCCCTGCAGCTGGGGCTTGTCCAGTAGGTTGTGTAGTTCATTTTTGGAGGCCTCAATCTTTTCCTGGTCAGCGGCATCCACCATGTACCTGTGCATATGGGAGGGAAATGGTGATTTAATACCACGTATTGGCTAAAACATGGAGAGGCTAAAGATTAAAAAAAAAGGCAGGGCTCTAAATCAAGGTCCAACAACCTTCTTCCCCCACCAACTCCCTATGATGAGGAGGGAACTCTGGTCAGGCCAAGGTGGGGTAGAGCAGAGATGAGGCTTAGCCATACCCTGCCCACAGCCTGGACACCCTGCATTTGACTAGGTCCCACCTAAAGCGCCTAGCAATTTACCCTAGTCTAGTCCTTACGTGAAGGATGCCACAAGGCCTTCGTGAGGGGACAGACCAGAAAACCCAGCTGAGGTGAGGGATCTAATGAGGACAGGGTGCAGTGGGGAGCCAGGCAGGGCCCTGGGCCCCGACACTTACACGATGGCGCTCACTCCTCGGCAATATCGCTCCCACATGCTACGGAAACGGGGCTGGCCTCCAATGTCCCAGAGCTGGGGATCAGGAAGAAGAGACAGAGGGCCTCAGGGTCAGGAAGCATGTACCCCAGCATCTCCAGCCATGCTCGATCCACTTTTCTCTCCCTCTCCCACAAACACTTGCGCCTCCAAGGTCTCCCTTCCACTTCTTCCCACCAGCCCTCGTACCTTCCTAATGTATTTCTTGTGTAGTAATTTTTAGTATCATAAAGATAGGGACGCACTAGGGACACCAAGAGAAAAGTGGACAGTCCCCATTTTCAAGGACCTCCCCTTCTAATGGAAGGGACAACACATACGGGACATGCATCTAAGCGGGTGTACTGGTCGAAGATCTCCTTACTACCCTGCATGTTCCATCAGGTCAGGGGCCAGATTTTAACTCAACTTTGTAAACTTCTCAGTGCCAGGAGAGAATGGGCACTCCTTCTCCCACTTACCCTTCTGCCCTCGGGCCATGGGCCCCAGGTCTCCCTATGGCACCACAAGGGAATGAAGGAGGCTTCTCCTTCCACTGTCCTTCAGCTACTCTCACCTCCCGATGCCCTCCCCTTTGGGGCCTGCTCCCCACCCTGCATTCAGACTCTGGCCTTTCCCCTTACCTTGATAGTTACGTTCCCTTTGGTGATTTTGCGCATGTTGAAGCCTACGGTTGGGATCATGTCTTCATTGAACTGTCCTGACTGGAGGAAGAGTCAGAATTAGGGCTACCCCCCACAGACATAGTGCAAAGAAATTGGCCCCTCTGGGCCTGACAAAACCAGGATGACAGATTCTAGATTTCTCATGCTGGAAGGCAAGCTCACAGGCTATTTTGTTTGTCCTCTGTCCTCGGAAATGGGTGGTACCTAAAGCAACCCGGGTGCTTGGCCCATATTTAAACCTCTCCAAAGAAAGAAAACAATTTCCATAAGATGTTTCTCACACTGGACTACTCTTGGGAAGTTTTTCCAGAGTTCTAATAATTGCCATTTGTGGAGTGTTTTAAGGTTTATTTCTGTGGTTAACAGAAATTGCTTTTCTAATGTCTACCCCACCCCCAATCCCTTGGTCACAGCAAATAGTTTTTTTGGATATTACTACAGTCTCTTTGCTAAGATTTTATTTTAAATCTCTACATCCATATTTGTTAATAAAATCCGTCTACAGTTTTCTTTCTCTGATTTATCCTTCCTTAGTTGCCCTTTTTGGTAAAGCACTTTCCACACAACAACCTTTTGTACAAGAGTTATTATTCCCACTTTACAAATAAGGAAACAGACGCAAAAGTGAGGGATTTGTGTGCAGTCATACAGCTAATTAGTTACTGCCTGAATTAGTACTTTAACTTTCAGAATCTCCTGACTCCAGTCCATCTACGTACTATGCTATACCGTCTCTGACTGTAATTCATAAAATGCAACCCTTCTCTTCCTTTAGTTCTCAGTGGGGCTGGGGGACAACAGCTTCCTAGCATTAGCATAGTGGACAGCCTCAGACGAACCATTCAAGTTGTACCTCAGCCTATTCCTTTCCAGGGTAAGGTTCAGCATGCTCTGGATCACCCATGATGGAAGTGGAGTTCCAGGGTGGCTCCTCCTGTTCCCCTAGAATATGTCTAGATGGTATTGCTCCCCCATCAAGGAATATGGAGCAATTTTCACATTAGCCTGAACCTAACTAACACTGGGAAAGTAACTGTGCCACTCTCAGATCACAGCATGTTCCAAAGGCAAGCCAATTTTTTCCCCTTCACTTTACGGATAGCTTTTGTTTTTATATCGCCTTGATTTCCAAATCTCTTTCTGACTTTTGCCACATCTAACATTTTGGTTCACCCATGTTATGACGACTCATTCCCATTCACTTGGACACCTGGGAGTTTGCTGTGATTCCACTTCTGTCACCTACTTGTAAACTGCTTCGTCATTTCTATTTTCCCCCTGGATATCTCCAAAATCTCCATGTTGCGTTTGTTGTTGCTGTTCGGTTGTTTATGGTCACATCTGACTCTCTGTGACCCCATCTGGGGTTTCTTGGCAGAGATACTGGAGTGATTTGCCATTTCCTTCTCCAGCTTATTTTATAGATGAGGAAATTGAGGTCAATAGGATCAAGTGACTTGCCCAACGTCACACCGGTCAGATTTGAACTCAGGTCTTCCTGACTCCAGGCCTGGTGCTTTATTCATTGAGTCACCTAGCTGCCCTGGGTTATTGCTAACCCCTAAAGATCCAAGGACTGATGACACAATCTCCTGTCATGGAAAACATCCTGGGTTTGGAGATAGTAGTTGGGTTCAAATCTTACTTCTGCTTATTATCTATATGACCGAGTCACCTCCCTGCTTTGGGTCCGCTTCATCTATAAAGTGAGGACATTGGACTAGAAGCCCTCTAAGGTCTGATCCACCCCTAAATCTGATTCTCTGATCCTTTAAAGTTATATGACCTTGGAAAAATGAGTTCACTTTTCTGAGCCTCAGTTTCCTCTTATGCTAAAGGACGGGATTGGTCTACATGGTCTCTAATGGTCCTTCCACCTCTAGACCTGTGATCTTCTGATTCCAAGCTGGCCACAGGTCTCAAAAAAGGCAGGACCAAGTGAAGTAGGAAAGACTCCCCCATTCATACGTGAGATAAATCTATTTATCTTTCGGGAGTAGCAGCCTTGGGAGGCTGGGCTTGCCACAACTGGAAAGGCAACCATCACTTGGGCATTGCTAATTAGTGCTGAGGCCTTCAAGCAGAGGATGGATGACCACTTGGAGGGTGTTACAGTGGGGATTTCTTTTTAGCATGGGTTTGACCAGATAGCCTCAGAAGTCCAACTCTCACCTCCAGGTCACACAAAATCGAGAGTAAAACAGGGAACTGAACCCAAGGGTTCTGGCTCCTCATTGCAACATCCCCTCCTGGATTTTTTTCAGGCCCCAGGGTACAGGACGTGGTTGTGCCTCACTCCAGGCAGGGAAGTCAAGAACTGAGACTGGCAATCAGCACAGAATCCTCTCCATCTCCAGCTGTCCATTCACATTCAAAGAATCATGGATAAGAGCTGGAAGGGACCTGAAAGATTACTCCGTCCAGCCTTCTGAGAGGTGTCCACTTGTTTAATATCACACAGAGGTAGCAACTGACAGAGCAGGACTTGAACCCAGGTCTTTTGACTTCATATGCACTATACCACACTGTCTTTAAAGTGATCTCTCCTCTTCCTGTCCCCTTTTCCACCTACGTGTGGCACCTATAACACTCACTTAAGCGTGAAGAAATGCCTCTTCACTGACTCTTACTGGGAACTGTACGTGGGCATGGTGACCTGTCCCTATACTTCTGTATCCAGAATACTGCTTGGATGGTTGGCCAGATGGAACATGATGGTGGCAGAAACTTAACAATGTGGGTTTGCTTCAGAGGAAAGATGGCGGCAGCGGCTCTTCTGTGGGTGCAGGCCAAGAGATGAGCTGGACTCACCTGGGCATGTTACATTATCTCTTCCTCCTTCCTACAAAGTGAGTCTGGTAGGGCATATCACCACATCAACACGATGATCCCAGATTTAGAGCTGAAAGGGACCTCTGAGATCTAGTCCAATCCCTCCGTGAAGAAAGGGAGAAAACTGATAACATTTACAAATATTATCTCATTTGATCTTACCAACAACTGTCGGAGGTAGATACCATTATGTTTCCTTTTTTACAGGGGAGGAAACTGAGGCAGAAAGTAATTGTCCCCAGGGGCACATACAGCTAGGTAGGTCTGTGGACACATCTGAACCCAGGATGTCCTAACTCCAGACCCATGCTCTGTATGCTGCCCAACTAAGACTCAAAGATGTTAAGTGACTTCCCAAGGTCACATGTAATATGGTGTATCAGGCGTACCCAAGGACTCCACAATTAGGGGGAAAAACCCAGCATTTTCCCCCACACCCGCCATGCTTCACCCCCATCTAGTGTCAGCCTCTAATCCTCAATTAGGGTATTCTAGGATCATCATAACAACTCATTTTCAGATTCACGAGGCACTTTCTTCACAACAATTCTGTGAGGTGGGTTACTACAGTTATCTGTTGTTTTTGAGTCATTTCAGTGGTGTCTCCTTGCGATCCCACCTCGGGTTTTCTTGGCAAAGATACTATAGTAGTTTGCCATTTCCTTTTCCAGCTCATTTTACAGATGAGGAAACCGAGACAAACAAGGTTAAGTGACTTGCCCAGGGTCACACAGCTAGGAAGTGTCTGAGGCTGGATTTGAACTCAGGAAGATGAGTCTTCCTGACTCCAGGCCCAGCGCTCGATCTACTTCACCACACTACAGTTATTACTCTACCCATTTTACAGAGAAAGAATCTGAGACTGAGCAAAATGAAATGACTCCGCTAAAGTTACAAAGTATCAGGCCTGGAATTCAGCTGGGGACCTTCCCACTGCACTCTATTATGCCGTCTCTCAAGACCAGAGGCCTGTGGACTATAAGCCAGTTTATTTTACCTTCTTTCTTTTAAAGCCAAATACAATGCTCTTTATAAAACCCAGCCTGCCCCCTGGTAAGCCAAAGGATGGGGCATCCAAGCTAGATAACACAAGGACTGGTCTACGGCAAAGGAAATGAAAAGGCAGGTCCCTCAGTGGCTGGGTGGCAGGTGGGGGAGAGGCTGAGAGCTAAAGGGAGGAAGGAAAACTCCCAGTGGGTTTGAATATGGCCATTTTCCTTTCTTGACAGAGTCTGGCTCCGCCCGACCTTTCCCAAGTCCCTGGGTCTCGCTAAGGCTAAACTAGGGGCTCTTGCTTCCTTATAACAGGGCTCTGCCCCTCTAGGATTGAGGGCCAAGGCAGCTGGCTAGCACAACAATAAAGAGTTGGATGGAACCTCAGAGGCCATTGGGTCCAACCCAGTGTTTTGCCCAAGGTCACTCAGAACCAGGATGCAAACTCAAGTCTTGAGGTCAAGTTGGGCTCTGAGGGCCTCCTCTGACTGAAGACCCAGGCCTGGTAAGGTCAACCAGGGCAGAAACCTTCCCAGATGGGGGCCAAGAAAAAGGAGGTGCCAGCTGTGTGACTCTGGGCAAGTCACTTAACCCCAACTGCCTCACCAAAAAAAGACAAAGAAAGAAAGAAAAGAAAAAAGGGGTCCTAGGCCCATAAACTTAGAGCTGGGCCATCAGAGGTCCTCTGGTATAACTCCCTTATTTTACAGATCAAGAAATTGAAGACCAGAAAAGGGGAAGTAACTGGCCTGAGGTCACACAGGTTATAAAAAGAGCCTTAGTACCAAAGTCTAATCTAGGGGCAGCGAGGTTTTACACTGGGCCACAAGTCAAGAAGACCAGAGTTCAAATCCTACCTCAGACAGGCTGGATTACTTGAAAGTCACTTAAGCTCTCTTGGCCTCAGTTTCCTCATTCTGAAAAAGGGGAATAATAGCACCTTTCTCAAAGGGTGGTTGAGACTGCATGAGATGGAGTACGTGAAGGCTTTGCAAATATTAAAGCACCTGCGTACGTATGGGTGAATCAGCAAGGAGAGGCTAAAGGGATGCAAATAAAGCAGCTGACCTTTAGGAGGCTTGACAATGGGCTTTCCTACAAACTAGGAGAAAGCCCCGACAGTGACAACTATGGCATTGTGTCGTCTGTCAAGGCACCTCCTCTCTGGGTTTCAACTTCTCATCTCTAACATAAGGGTCTGGGCTACGTGATCAATAAGGTACCTCCTACTTCTAACATTCTGGGGAGTCTGAGTTTTCAGTTCCTTCTCTGTGGAAACAGGAAGAGTTCTCATCTCCTACGAACTGAGGAGATAAACCCTGAAAGGAAAAGGAAAACATTCTGTGGCTCACTCCCAGACTCCAAAGAATCGAGCAGAATACAGATATTGGGAAAAGTGGGAATTCTGGGAGAATCAACAGAAAACAAGCACCTCTAATTTTACCCTCTCCTGTTCAGTTAATAGGGATGGAAGCTAAGCCATAGGGTAGCTAGGTGGTACAGTGTATCCACTGGGCCTGAAGTCAAGAAGACCTGAGTTCAAATCCAGTGTCAGGTATTTCCAAGCTATGTGACCCCTGGCAAGTCACTTAAATTTCTGCTTGCCTCAATTTCCCTGACTGTAAACCTCTCACGATGACCTACATCTCAGGACTGTTGTGAGGATCAAATGAAAGGATATTTGTAAAAGCACTTAGCATGGTACCTGGCACATAGTAGATACTTAATAAATGCTTACTGCCATCCCCTAAGCCCCTGACTCAGTTTCTTGTTTTTCTCAACCACTCATTTTGGGCCATGAATGGAGGTGGGGGCACCCCACTTCAGAGTCTCACCAGCTGTACCAAGGATCCTTGGTTTTTGTTAGCCTTACTCTGAATACCACCCACTATATGCTGGGTGCTCAGGTCATTCCCAATTCAAGTTCATACAGCAGAAAGAAGTGACTCGGAGAGAAATGGAGAAAGGTATGAGGTCACGAAGCAAGGCAAGGCTTTGGGAGGCCTGGATTACAAGTTGGTTGGTGTTTTTTAGGGCTTCCCTTCAAAGATGGTCAAGTTAATCTGCCATTTCCTCCTGGGGTCTGCAATGTTTGAACTGAATCAAAGAGCGAAGAGCAGCCCAGCAGATAAGCACCTTGTGGGCCTCCCAGAAGCATCTTTGATATGGATGCTGGGATTCAGGATTCCTGGGTTCTCCCATCACTGGGTATGGTACCAGCCCAGGACAGAGGAGGACCTTCTAAAAGATGCTTTTCCAGGGCCACAGCAACAGCATATCACAGTAGGTAAGTGTGATATCAGCTATTATGATTATGGTTACAGGGATTGTTACTTAAAAGGGAGTGAGCAAGGTAATGCTCACTAGGATACAGCTGGGCAATGGATGGATTTCTATGTCCCACGATTCCTTTCCAGGAACATGGCCTCATTAATACTCTATCAGGAGCCCTGTGCAAGGGATTGTGGGTAACACCAAGGCTGTCTGTCCCCCCTGCCCCATGCTGTTCCTAGGCCAAGAGCAGAACAGCATTAACTTCTCTCAGGCTCATACTTAAGGGATTTCTCTCAGGATCCAGGGCCTAAAAGCAAATAGTCACAGCATTCTACCCATCCTATCAACCCAGTCAAACCTGCAGAATTCAGGTGACAGACTATTAGAAATGGAAAGGACCTTGGAGATCATTTTGTCCAAGCTCCTCATTTTTTCTCTAAGTCCTTCATTTCAAAGATAAGGAACTGAGGCCCAGAGACTTGCCCAAGGTCACTCAGCTAACCAACACAATAAAAAGTAGAATCTACTTCTCTGGCTCCTAATACAATTCTCTTTCCACTACACAATGTTATCATACAGCTTTCGTTTTGTGTATTTGCAATTTATTGTTAGAAATCCTATGCTCACTTTAGATTTGTCGCCTAGGTGCTCACTGCTTGCAAGCAAAAACAAACACTAGACCAAATTCACCAGCAATCTCAAACCACTTGGCCCATTCATGGTAGGAACAGACCTCTCTGGTTATCACCCTTTGTGTCCCCAAGAAAACAGTTACTAACTCCCTCTCTAAATATCTGACTCCCCCAAAGTCAAGGCAGGAAATGAAGACAGAACCTAGGCTCCTGTCCCCCAGCCTGAGATAGCCAAAGGTCCCTGAATGACCCCGGGCTCTAACGAGGAGGTCCTGGACTATAGATCCGGGGAGGGAAGGGTGAGCAGTGGGGTCCCTGGAGGCGAAGGCCAGGATGGGCTGTCAGGTCTACAGATCACCATGCCCAAGGGTATTCCCTCTGCTGACCAGGAAGACAAGGAATGCTGTGGCCCAAGTGCGGGCAGAACTGGGTGGGGAAAGGGCAGAGGTTATTTCTAGAGCATCTGGGAACAGAAGGGTAAACTCATGTGACTCTCTAGAGACCTGCCTGCTCTTCTTCTCATTCCCCGCCCACCCCAGGCCTGATGACATCTGTTTCCGAGGACCCAGATCACAGACCCCGAAGTGCCGACACTTCTTATACGCCCGGCCATTTGCCAGATTGGGGAACTTGACCGGCAAGTCAGAGGGAAGTCACCTAGGGCCCGCAGGTCCTCGGGGGGGGGGTCTTCTGACCCCCGCATCTAATCGGCACCCCCGAATCCTGGGAAGCCACGGCCCTGGGAGTGGGGCCGGGTCCCTGGGGGTGGGGGGTGCCGTGGGGGGCCGCCACAAGCCCCAACTGGGCTTGGCTCGGGGCTTGGCTTCTGCCGGGGGATGCAGGCCGTGCAGGCCGCGGCCATTACTGCAGCCTCAGCTCACACACCCAACGAACTCGTCCTCCCCTTTGGGGAGAGCTTTAACCCTTTCCTCGCCCGCCTCCGGCCTCGAGCCCGGCTCCAGGACGCTGCCCCTGCTGCTGCCGGGACCTCCTCTGGGAGGGCATCGCTTCCTGGCGCCCCTGTCCCCCCAGATGTCCCCCCAGCAGTGCTCCCGGGCACCCCTCCCGCAACTAGTCACGCGGGTCGGAGGAAGTGGCCTCTTGGTTTCCCCCTCCCCGCGGGGCCCCACGAGGATGACATCTCCCCCTCCCCCACTCGGGGCCGTTCTTCCTCTTCCGGCTGGGAGGGGTTGCATACCCCCCCGCGGGGGCTCACTAAGAACCCCGGGCCCCCCCCCCCCCCCCCCCCCCCGGGGGCGGCCCCCCGGGCCCCCCCCCCCCCGCCCTGCCGGGGAGAGGACCCGGCGGCTTTCGCCGCGTCATGCCCCTCCCTGCGCCCCCGAGCGCGGAAGGCCCCCCGCCGCGTACCGCGATCACGTTGACGAAGGTGGTCTTGCCCGAGTACTGTAGGCCCACGAGCGTGAGCTCCATCTCCTCCTTCCAAAACAGGGCCTTGAACCAGTCCAGCAGCTTGTTGAACAAAGCGATCATGGTGGCGGCTCCGGCCGCGGGCCCCGCCCGCACGCTCGCCCCTGCGCCGCGCTCCGCTCTGGGCCCGAGCCGGGCCGCCCGCCTGCCCGCCCGCCCGGCACGCCACGGGGGACCCGGCGGCTCGGCTACAGCCACCGCCCCGGCCCGCCCGGCGCCGCCCGTGCGTCAGTCCGCGGCAGCGGCCCGGCCGCTCGCTCTGTCCGTCCGTCTGTGCAGCGGGCGCCCGCCGAGCAGCCCCGCCCGCCCGCGCGGCCGTCCGTCCGTCCGTCCGTCCGTCCGTCCGTCCCCCTGCCCGCCCGCGCGGCCCTGGAGCTGCTGCCGCCTGCACACTCGCCTGTCCGCCTGCCCGCCCGGCCCTCCGAGCAGCCCGGCAGCAGCAGCGTGAGCAGCAGAGGCAGCAGCAGCAGCTCCCTCCCCGCTCCCCGCCCGCCGATGGGTGTGGCCTCAGAGCCCTCCTCCCCCCGCCGCCGCCGCGCTCGCCTTTCCTCGCTCCTCCTCCGGTCCTCCTCCCCCTCCCTTGGCCCTCCTCCTGCTGCTGCTCTCCTTTCTTCTCCTCCTCCTCCTCCTCCTCCCATCCTCCTTCCCCTTTCCTGTCCTCCTTCCTGCTGCTCTCCTTTCCCTCTCTTCCCTCCTCCCCTGTCCCTCCTCCTCCTCCTACTGCTCTCCTCTCCT